TTATTTCTAAGGTTTCAATCAATCTTTGATGTTTTAGCTTGGTCTTCACGCGAGAATAAGGCCTCAATTTCCCTTGGAACAGCTTCATCAGAAGTTATGACGTCACGCTATGATGTGATGACGCCATATATAGCAGTGACCTCCAGACCTCTTGCCGTCACGTCCTCAGAGCTTAGGATGATCTCAGCCTCCGTGCCTGGAGTGATTATGTTGTCAACCCATCAGGTGTTGTGGACATCTTCCGCTTCTCTGACGCTTCTAAGACCCAGTGTTACCGGTAAATTTAAGAGTTTTAATGACTTTTTTAGTTGCCTTACTTGAACTTAAAACGTTTCCGTCGTCGAAACTATTTTTACGTTGTAAAGTACAAGAGCGAATAAAGGTTTGCTATTATCATACATACCTACCTACCTACCTACCTACCTACATACATACTTACATACATAAGGTGTGACTTGATTTTCGTAGAACAGTGCTCAATACATAGAAGTAGAGCGAAGTATATTTTGTGGGAGGAAAAAGACAAGTAAACTACAAGTTCATCCCTACAAGCCTGTTTCGTGGTCGCCCACTCATCAGGGGATTTCCTGGCGCTTTCTCTCATCGCACTCACCGTATAACAGCTCAACTAAAAGATGTAACCTCTGCCACAAAGAAAAATTCCTAATCATCTGCCGGCCCGAACTATCAACACTAAACAAACGTAATGAACTCGTGTCTTCATGCCGCCACAGAAGCAAAGCCCTCCTACGCAACAACTAAACTGTCAATTTCGAGCTGCATAAATTAGACTAGTTAGATCATGCAAATTATATTGTATATAAGCAATGGTAAAGTTTATTTTCATTAAATCCCCTGATGAGTGGGCGACCACGAAACAGGCTTGTAGGGATGAACTTGTAGTTTACTTGTCTTTTTCCTCCCACAATATATACTTACATACATACATACAAATTATTGTAATATTATAGTAACATTGTATTGGCCTAAAAATATGAATAAGTAAATCCGAAGCTAATACAATATAAATACAAAAGGCCAGTACACGTTAAAAACACTAGTGAACTAATACAAACATTAGACAAGAATAGAAGATTGAAACGATTCATCTGTGCGCAACATTTCCTCTAAGGAGCGCATTCAGTAAGCGGAGCTTAAAAGCATTTACATTCTCAGCTGGTTTTAAGTCCTTTGGGAGGTTATTCCACAATTTGCATCCGCGATACGTGAATGCACGTTGCCCAGAGGACAGCGGCATCTTGGGATGTGGAGCAGATTACATAATCTTGTTACCCTACTATGAATACGAGATCGTGGGACAAACGTGTTAGCCAGATATTCAGGAACTAAATTATTTACACATTTAAATACCATTACAGTATCGTTGAAATAGTCTTTCTTTAACAGTGAGCCAATTAAGAGATTGTATGCCTTGGGAGATGTGGTCCAATTTCTTAAGACCTAATACAATACGGGCAGCGAAGTTTTGCACTAGCTGAAGCTTCTTTATATTTCTTTGACAAGTGTTGGCCTATACAGTTGAACAATAATACATTGTACTAAAAACAAAAGCGTTCATCAAAAGTAAGAGAGTTTTCCTGTCCAAAAGGTGTTTAATCCTGCTGATCTGTACTAGTTTGAAAATACAGTTAGAAGTAGTTTTAGCAATATATGATCGTTATATGTTAAGGACTGGTCGATGTAGACTCCAAGGTCCTTTGCCACAGGGACTGGTGTTATTTCCTTTCCCAAGAGTAAAACTGACGTTGGAGGCAATTTCCGCAGTACTTGAGGAACACCAACTAGTAAGATTTTAGTTTTAGCTGGGTTTATTAGAAGGGAATTCTGACAGCACCATCGGCAGATTTCACTCAAATCTTCGTTCAGATAGCCAAATACGCGAGCGATGTCAGTTGAGCGAAAGGATAGATATAATTTACAGTTATCGACGTAGCATACAGACTTGCAGTGGGCTGGAACGGACAAGAGATCATTTACATAGATGGTAAATAACACGGGCCCCAAGATAGAACCCTGAGGAACTCCGTATTTAATAGGGAGCGGGTCTGAGATAGCATCCCCAATGCGCACTCTCTGGCTACGACCAGACAGGTAATTATGAACCACTCCAAGCTCGAAGAAGTAACACCTATACTCTGTAACTTCTGATGGAGAATATCATGTCTGATACTGTCGAATGCCTTAGACATGTCCAGTAGCACGACAACGGGTACTTCACTCTTATCAATGGCCATGAGAAAATCATCTGTTACGTGTAAGAGAGCAGTTTCCATCGAGTGACATTTTCGATTACCGCTCTGATTTTTAGATAGCTTCTTGTTGGTGGTTATGTGGTCAACGAACTGACGGTGAGCTAATCTCTCAGACACCTTAGATAGTATTGGCAGTAGTGAGATGAGCCGGTGATTGCAGGGATCTTCGGGGTTGCCAGACTTTAACACAGGAATTATTATGCAGTAAAAACGTCTGTATGCCATATGCGATAAAAGCAACATGAGGCACCGAAGCACCATGAGCTAATCAGTGAATAAAATAGAAAGAAAATCTAACATTATAATTGAAAACTGACATCATCGTTCTAAAACTATTAAAACCGATAATTTATATACATATATATAAGATTGTTCTTCTTTCCAGAGTTCGCCTATAAGTTAAAAAAAGTGCGCGCAATATTTAGAGTTCTTGAGAGACACGCCTTCTGCATCTTCTTAAACACACCTTTAGCTTTGTTGCCTACTAGCTTCTGTAGAGTGACATCCAAGTCCTTGGAACATCCCCCGAGTACATCTAAGATGATATTGCACTGGTTGATCTCGTACCCTGGGTATCTCTGCTTCAATTCCCATCTGAGTGGCGCATACTTCATGGTCTTCTCAGAAGTCTTCTTGTCGCGGTTGCTCACCCAGAGGGAGCTCATCTCCAAGGCTATCACTTGCTTATCTCTGTTGTTAACGATCCTAGCATCCACTCTGTTTGCTCTGAGCTCTTGGTACTCTTCACGTACCAGGACATCTCAATACTCCTGTACCTCTGCTTTTTCATAGACTGACTGTGGCTTGATAGGTGAATACCACGAGGGTACAGTGTCTATCAAGCCCGAGTCAAAGATGATCTCGAAGAACAGGACCTTCAAGATGGTGTCATGTCTTGCGAGGTACTTGGTTTGTGCAAGAGCAGGGCAGGCAGATAAGCTGTGGGCCATACCCCCTGGCGCTGTACCACACATGCCGAATCACTACTATCACCACACGTGTCTTATGAATGGTGTACAACCGTGTGGGTAATAGCTGTTCGTAAAGTTCAAACGTGCCCGCGATGGTGTGTGTTGGGCAGGTTGGCCAGTCGCTCAGCCACTAAAAGCATCGCTCAGCCACCAAAAGCACCGCTCAGCACTTAGCTCTTCGTCTCTTTCTCTTTCCGTTACCAACTTTCCATGCCATCTCTGTTCTCTAACCTCCTCCCGTATTCTTGATTCTCGATGTCTCTTGAGAAGATTCTTTACCTTTTTCCTAGGTATCACCTTTCCCTCCTCTGTGACACAGACTGGATCGGGGTATTCAAGCTGTAGCTGCAGACCATACTCTTTCGCGAACGCCGCCGCCGTCCTTTGTCAGCGCTTGGTGCCCCACGCACTCCGCACGCTCCTCAAAGTCCCGTACCATCTTCATAGCCGGATCTCTGTTCTGTATCAGATTGACCGCTGCTTTCACCTTCGTTTCTTTATGCTCTGTCCTGGTGGAGCGCAGCCCCCTCCCACCTTTATTACGTGAGAGGTATAACGAGGATGTTGAACCACAGGGATGCTTATCTCCGTTCTCTACAACAATTTTGTCTACAACAATTATTATTATTATTATTATTATTATTATTATTATTATTATGCAGCAGTTTAAAGCTTTTGTATGCTATATACAATAAGAATAGTATGACGGGGCGCATGAGCGTCGCCCGTTAACTATAGTGAAATCAAAATCTATATACTTAACAAAAAAAAAACCCTCGAGAAATAAAAAAGATAAGCTATTTCGGGTATCCAAATCTAAAATAGTCATTATAAATTCTTTAAAAACCTATTACTTATTTCGGTTATGAAAGAGTTAATCGGCAGTGACGATCACTTCCTAAGTTTCTAATAATTCACAGAATTTTTGAAGGCAAAGAGTTAAATAGAACGCGATATTCATTGTTCATCTTGCAACTTTAAATGTCCGAGAGATATTTAGTGTTCCCGAGATCACAGCCTTCTGCATAAATTGAAGAACTCCCTTACTCTTGTTTCCGACCAACTCCTTCATTCGGCTTCTAAGTCACGACACCATCCCCCTAATGTGTCCATTATATATATCTTATTAACCAAGCGCGAGGGCCGTACTGGGAGAATATCGGCCCGAGGTCTTGACAGTACAGACCGAGCGCAGCGAGGTCCGTACAAAAAAGACCGAGGGCGGATATTCTTCCAGTACGGTCCCGAGCAAGCTTGGTTAATAAGAGATTTATTATACGACTGAAGTTCAAAGGGATACAAGTGCGGTATCATTAGGGACCATTGGGACAGTGTCGGGCCAATACTTAGAGAATATTGGACCGGCAATAGAGCATTTGGATTGGTTGATTTTAGTTATTGGCCCTCTGACTGCCCGAGTCGTGTAATAAGATATTATATTGTTTCACTTCATATCCTTGGTACTTCCGCTTCAATTTCCAACGAAGCGGTCCGTATTTCGAGGTTTTTTCCTCGTTCTTTTTCCCCCTATTTTTAATCCATAGGCAGCTCATCTCCAGCGTGATGACTTGCTTTGATTCATGGTCGATAATACGCGCATCTATTTGTTGGCTCTAACTTCTTGGTGCTCCGCAAATAAAGGAGCGTCCCAGAATGCTTGCGCATTGTTCGCCCCGTACATGGGCTTCGGTTTCAATGGCGAGTACCAAGGGGGGACTGTGTCTACAAGGCCTAGGTCGTGCAGATTATTATTTATTATTATTATTATATATATTATTATGTTATATATATCATATTATATTTTTATTATTATTATTATTATTATTATTATTATTATAATATAATTATGATGATGATGATTATGATGATGATGATGATGATGATGATGATGCATTTTGCTAAGAAGTCTAATTGAGACTGGAACGATGGGATCCAGTTATTAAATTAAAAAAAAACTTGAAAGCAAAAAGCCAATTGCTTATCGTTCACTCATGCATTTAAAAATCTTGTTACCAGAGACTACGCCCAGGAATAAAGTACTAAGTAAAACCGAACCGCCACCAACTTCCTCATTGCGTTCACTCTCAATTTCTCCATCATTGGCCGTGATGTTGTCATCATCTAGTATGATGTCACCGTTAATGATGTTTCCCTCAACTATACTTGAGTCACCTGCTTTAGTAATGGCGTCAAGTCCTGTATCAAAGACTGCTGACCCTACGTCTCCAAACAAAGCTAACCAAGGCCCAATGGAATCTCTATCCAGTCGTCACGCTTACTTCAAAACTGGAAGGAAAGACGGGGTCTTACTCAATCATCGGATCAAGAGAATGTGGACGCTAAGCGTGATCACGTGCGCCATGCTGTGTATAAGGCATCAGAGCTGTCAATCATTCAACTTTAAGTGCTCGGAACAGGATTCAAACCAGTTAAAGGATGTTAATACTGAACAGCATCCTAACTGCCAGCTAAACTCGGCAAAGCACTCCACGCATCCGAGGGACTTCTTTTCAAAGAAAGGATATTGTTACTTTTATCTATGAAAACGACGAGGGTTCGCATGCGCTGCTGTTACCGTTCCAGAATAAGCGTCATGATGGTGTCACAATATTGAGCCAGATATCGCCATACTAACACGTCGCCCAATTCAACGTAATGTGCGAACACTTCATTTTGTTACTCCCCTCCACTTTCGATGATTTGCCACTATTGTGTTCCTCCGCAAGAGAGAAACGCGTCCGTAAAAAATTGAATTTTTCTTTCATTACTTAATGCAATGATAAACAATGATTAAAGGTAAAAGAGTTTTAAAAGTTAGCTTTTAAAAAAAGGAAGTTTCTAAAAAGTACTGCCAAGGAATTTAGCGCAAGTTAGATTTTGACTTGAGTCAAGCAAACCAGTTTTGCGTCGCTGTAGCTGCCGTTTGAAATGTTTACTGGAACGATTGAATCTCTTTTGCTGCTGTTTCTTGCCAAAGTTTTACGTTATTAGTAATGCGCATGCTCTTCTATATTTGTAATTTTACGCCTACTTCAAACGTAGGGCCAAACTTGTGCGGAAGTTCACGCAAGTGGGTTACAAATAAATAATAATAAAACGATGTATTGTGAACAGAAACTTGTAAGTTGACTTCTTTCAGTATCAGACGGAGCCTGCAAGATGGCATGATTGATCTGATAATTTTTTCTTTTTTTTTACATTGTGACTAAGCAGAGGTATTCGGAACATGATAATGATATTGACCACTTTCAAAAATGGCTGCCGGATTAATATTCTTCTGTTTAAATTTAAATTAGCATTTCTGGCCTCGCTTGAGATAATGTATTCTTTTGAATTTTGTACTGGAGAACGAGGCCAGAAAGGCTAATTTAAATTTTAACAAAAGAATATTAATCCGGCAGCCATTTATGAAAGTGGTCTATTGAAAAAAATTTGTTACTTATTTATTTTATCCCAGTTCAATGTTATAAACGAAAAATGTTACCAATCAACTGTGTTAGAAAAGGCGAATAAGGCAAACCCCATTGTCTTAAATTAAACAAGCGACTAAACAACGGAGATATAGAATGTTGAGTTCTCATTTCCTCTGAAGTTACAAATCTATCTTCAACTGAAAATGATAAAAAAATTCGGTCACGTCTTGGAGTACAAAAAAATCTCTGACCCATGATTTCATTCCAATGACCGTTCTGAATGATGGAAGTAGGGGTAACGGAAGCAATTTTCCCTTCCGGTATAAAGGTAAAGGTGGAGACGATTGGCAGCAGGCGTAATTTTGGCGCGGCGAGTGCTCAGTATCATCTTGGTGAAAATTATACTGCAATCCATGATTTTTACAACAGCGGAGAACTGGGGAGAGAAAGAAAAGAGCGACGGTCAAGAAGGAAGGGGAAGGGAGGGGGGGGGGGCAATGATTATCAGTTAACTGTTGAATAACAGTTAACTGATATCATTAAAAACTCTGCGATTAAAGAAGTAAATTTAAGATGAGGCTCATATCGTGTATGATATTATAAGAGGGAATGTTACCAACGGTCAAACGGTGGCAACAGCCAAAATATCGATTCGGCTCATATTCTCAAGTTAGTTAGGCCTTATGGTGAAACAAAACACTGCATACTTCGTTTGGCTGAATATCGATTTATTTTCGAGAAAATCGATAATGACTGAATTTCGTCCAAATGCCGCTTTTGAAGCTCAAAATTTCAGACAAATCTCGGAGCGTCACGCCACGAATTGAAAACACTTGGACCGATGAAAGCTACCCAATCTTGAAAAACAACATCAATACATACCTTCACAGCAATTTTAGCAATTCTTGATCGTTTATTTACACAATCTAATTGAATTTAGAACATAGCTAGCAGAGTCGCGCAATCAAATTCATTATACGTAAGCGTGCTCAAAATCCCGATAGTGCACGCTGATAGCGTCAGCAAATCCGACTTCGCCAGAAAATTTTTTTTCGCGCGAGCGGCCATTGCTAGTGCGGGGAAAAATAATACATTTCGCGACAATAATGGATACAAACAGAAACTCGGCCTGCTAGTCCGAAAACGAAGACAATGTTTCGACCTTTTCCCATGGGCTAGAGTTCTTAAATGAGGCAGAAAAAGAGAAAAACAAAGGAAAAGGAGACTCGGCATCAGCGCCGTCACGATTCGCTTCAACTGATATTGTTGTCCGTTTTTCGCGTCGCATTTGATGCACAATTCCACCGGCTATGTTCTAAAACAATTGGTTCATGCTTTCAGCTGTGCACTATCGAGTTATGGAGCACGTGGGAAGTTTGGAGAGCACTCAAGAAGCTAGAGTTGCCCTCGGCTATCGCCTCGGGCAACTCTTACGCTACTTTCGTGCTCTCCAAACTTCCCGCGTGCTCCATAACTCGATAGTGCACGCTAAAAGCATGAACCAATTGTTAATTAATTGACCTTCTTCTAACAAGATTGAAAATAGGTCAAAAGTAACCAGTTATTTAACTATGTGCTATACAACATAATCAACTGAAAATCTGGCTTTTGGAAGGCGAAGTGTGGTTCTTTTCGATCTCCAAAGGATTTTTTGGGAAAATGATTCAGTGCGATTTAATCAAATTTTAAAGTTGAATAAAATGAGCTGATTTAACGGTGCCGTCAGTTGTTCGAAAATGTTCACATTCCGACACAAACTCGATTGTTTCGCATTTTACACCCAATCTACTTATTTAACATAATATCATCTTACCGTCCATATTGCTGTATCACAAAAGGGGATTGCAGTCCTAAAATTGCTGCATTGCTCCCTCAATAGCAATAGAACTTGGCAGGATCATCCTGATAATGATTGTTTACAAAGCGTGTCTGGGGGTTTCTCTTACTTCGCGTAAGAGATCTTTGTTTAATTATAAGTATACAACCGAACCGAGAACCAAATGTAGGCGGAATGTTGCTAGTTCAGAAACATGTTTCTCGCGTGCAGAATAACGCTAATTAATTCAAAATGAGGTTTACGTAAATAAAACGCAAAAATAAAACATTGGACTATAAAGCACGTGGCTACAGGAACTAAGGCCGTGTTTTACATATACGAAACAGGAGCAAACAATTATCTAACTCCGATCATAATTTAATGTATCATAATTGAATGTTTCAGGGTACTTCGGGGGATAAAGCTCATTTTAGGACAAAACAAGAGCGAAAGATCTGCAAAGGGCAAAGCCCATCATACATCACTGCAGATGTGCGACAAAGAAAAGTGAAGTGTTTGAATATTTGTTTAATATTTAAAGGAAGTTTTATAACCTGGAAAACCACAACTTTCGCTGAAATGTTTGTAAAAGGCAACGTTCAATAGCTTTATATTTATACTACTTCTTCTCCAGAGGCTACTGTGCCTTGTTAAGTTACACGTGCCGGCAGTAAGACTACGACCCAGGTAGCACGTTCACAATTTTCACACCCACCTTTTCCCGGCAGCGGTCCGAAAAAAGCTCACATCGGAACTCGGGAAACGCTTCGAGTAATCATTGCACCAGCTGACGCAGCAGACTCTAGTGCGAGTCGGTATACCTAAATCAAATACTTGCATTTTGGAAACAGCGTCTTTGAAAAATCAACTCAACTAGTTAGTTATTTAGTGTTCTTGCCCAAGAAGGTAGCCAAGTAATGATCTATCCCCCTCAAATATGGTCGGGTCCAAAGCCATCAATGCATTATATGGCGAAATATTATAGAGCGTGGCTGATGCATAATGAAAAGTTAACATAAGCCTGTTGTCTGATCAGACCAAAATGTTGACGCCCATCGGGAAAAGATTGATATCTAGATTTAACCAGAAAAAAGAAAGTAAACAAACCCATGTTGTGCCTGTCTCCTTTAATCCTTCCTTCCAAGATAATAAATTTAAGAAGTGAATGACTACTTCTTATAGAAGTCCAAAGCCAATCAATGCATCATATGGCGATATATTATTGAGCGTGGTTTGATATATCAGAAGGAACTCTGCGCCTCGAACTAGAGCCTCTCGTTCACCCCACACCAAGCTTTGCACTAAGCGAGGGACAAATTGTCGTGGAATTTTTGTTAGCAGGAGGAGAGAATATGGCTGCTCGGCTAATAACTAGGTTAACTTTGTCCTTTGGCCCGGAAAAACCGAGACTAGCGGAATTGCTCTCAATCCGCCTTGAACAGGTAAGAAGAGGTATAATTACTGTTTCCCGTTTTCTGGATTGTCTGTTGAGGTCACAGTGTACTCTTACTTTTTGAATGAGCAGTATATATCCTTATGAGGAGAACGACACGCAATGCAGTGGCAGAGTTCACATCTTTTCTCTGCAATTCATTTTATTAGTAAACGAAAATACTAGTTTCAAGGTAATTTCTGTAATTAATCAAACAATCAATAGAGATTAAAATAGTAAGGAAGAGGAAACAAATACGATTAAATTTTTCAGCGTCTTGAAAAATACTTGTAAATTATTTAAAATCCTTACCTCTACTCGAGGCAATTGTCATCTCGACCGG